CTCAAAAATCAACCGTATTTTGTTGTGACTTCAAGCTTACACTTTTATACTAAAATTGAAGACGCTATAAAATTGCACACCAAAAAACAATATTCTAAATAAAAATTGTGAAAATTTTATGTGGATTTGACGACGATGTTTTTTTTTAGTTGTTGCAAAGTTAAAAACTTTGAGTTTTATGGATTTTGTTGTAGTGTGAACTACATTTTTTATTAAAAATTAATAAAACTTAAATAAAACAAAATGTGTTGAAAATATGGAAAACAATTTACTGTACAATTTTGACTAACACTCACTGTATCTGGTTCCCGTTACAGATTGAATAATTTATATATTAAATAAAATTATTAAATATAAATAAATAAACTGAGTTGCAATTGGTGCTAAATCTTTGACCATAGCTAAATGTTCATTGTGTTCTAACAAAACCTACTAAGTTCAATTAAATTTCACACTTATCGGCAGTTCCTTACCTACTTTCTTAAACTTATTATTGTTGTTCTTATTCTAAGCACCATCCATAAGAACGTCTTCGTGCCTAATTCAACCCTATGTTACTTGTGAGTAAAATATATGACTCATAAAAAATCTCACGCCCGTATGCGGCGCCACGCCTACTTTCCCAAGCTCATTCATATTCATCTTAATTAAATCATCAGTATGAGAAATGTCCGCATACCAAATTTCAATTTATTGCGACTTGGGGGTCCAAGGATATGACTCTTTAAAAATTGTCGTCGCTAAAGCTTGGACATTGGCAACATCCCAGGTGGCCGGCCCTCAGTTGGCACAGAAGAGAAACGACTGGCGTGCTTTGTTGAACTCGTTGAGAAGAACAAGAATTCAACGAATTATTACTTTGACTGCAGATGAGCAAAAAGAACGATCATTATAATAATTTTCGAATATTCATATGTACATCTATTTTCCATTCATTAACTAGAAGTGCATCCTCAAATTGTGCAGGGTGTAGCGATGAGCACTGGGTTAGCTAGTTTACTATAGGGGTATTCTCTGAGTCTTGCAAAGCCCTTGCATGGTGCACAGATTGCACGGATTGCACGGTTAAAACCGGTTTTCGTATGGGACAGCTTTGCAAACCGTGCAATCCGTGCACCGTGCAAGGGCTTTGCAAGACTCAGAGAATACCCCTTATATTTTTGCTGCAAAATTCAATTGCAAACGCAAGCAAATATCTTACCGAGCGCCTAATACATACATGCAAAATATGTTACACCGTGTGAATCTGTTAAATGCATTTGAATTGATTTACAAAGTTCATTGACAGCTGAGTACGTTTTCAATGCTACTGTGCGGGCGGTGCCGAAAATTTTGACGTTCTGAGTGCTGTAAGCGAAATGCTTGCAAACGGTAGTTCTCGTTTAAATGGGGCGTCGAAATTGCACAACGTATGCACGCGTATAAACAGGGTCGTAGCGCAGGGAAAATTGCCAAAGGCGGGAAGAATATTCAGCCTCCACGACGAAACGTCTTATACTCTGAAACTTAGGGCAATATGTATTTTGCCCACCTGCAGCCACTAGGAGAGACCCAGTGATTGTTGAGCAAAATATTAATTTAAGGTACTGACGATTTAACTTATTGCGGACAAAGGAAACCCTTTCTACCCAATGGTCAGATATTTCATTGCCAATAACTCCCGAATGACCTGGCACCCAGAGAAAAACAAGCTCGCTATGTTTTTCAACACAATTTAGTGGAGACTTGCATTGCGGAACCAGTCTGGAAGTAGTTAGAAGGCTGACAATTCCTTCAGTGCAGACATCTAAATAGTAACTCTATATAGTACACTGTTCAGGAAAGCCATAAATGCTATAGAGCACATGTGTGCGAACGTATTGGAAACTCATAACTTTATGTGTGTATTTAACCTAATTGATAGTTTTCCAAAGAGATGTTATAATTTTTACATATATCTGACAACACTTAAGTATTTTATAATTTTTTTGTTTCAGCTAGTAATTATATGTACTTATTAATGCACATTTCTCACACATCTTTATCTTCTGGTCACATTTATCCAGTTCATACGAGTATTATAATATGTAATGAATGTATGTATGTACATATGAAAAGTTTAGTACTTAAGTATAAATATTTGGCGTCGGAAAATGTTGTTGATAAAAATGGTAACTAATGGCGATTTCGTTTCTACAAAAAATGTTGCCTTCTCAATGCCCTCTCCTTAATTTTTGTGCATAGCCAGCAAAGAGAAGGTTGCATTTTTCGGTAGAAACGAAATCGGCATAAGTGAGTATGTGCGGGCTAATAATAAAAAGCGTCAAATTCATTTGTTGACAAACAAAAATAAAGAATTAATATAAATCAATTAGCAATCGTCTGAGTTGAACGCGCCAAAATTGTGAGACTAACACCAAGTACGAACCGTATATGGATTGAAGGGGCTGAGGGGTTAGATATAAGTGAAAAATTTCGAAATATAAAATTAAAATAAAGAGTTTAAGCGCCACTTTTACCATGCATTAGAGATGCCAGATCGAAATAAGAAAAACCCGATTTTTTAATCGATTCGAATCGAATTAAAAATAATCGATGCTTGAAGAAATCGGCAAAAAAAAACGATCTTCCAAGATCGATTCATATATTTGGTCAAATAACGTATTTTACTTAATTTTTACAAAGAAACAAAACACGGCGATCTGACCAAACTAATACTGAAATTTTTAAAGCATAACAGTTTCAATATACAGATTTATTCAAAAGCTATCAAGTAGCTTTCAATTCGTAAATACTTTGAGAAAAAAAAAAAAACAAAATAACAAAAAATAAATGCCAATGGATGTAATGGCAAAAATGGTTCTTTTTCACTTATGTGCAGTATTTTGAAAAAAAATTTACATTTGCAATCCGGAGTGGCGATAGGTCGTTCATACAATTTTGTTCGCAAAGTTGCCATTTCACCAAAATTGCCACTTTGCGATGTTTCATGAATCGCACTAATGGCTATTTTTTTTGAACGTGATACCCAACATTGCCATTAAAATTTTTGTAGTTTAATGCTTAGTGGAAATTTGTCATTAACCCTACTCAAGGAAATGCTTAATTTTTTTTTTTATCACAAGCGAAAAGACTTTATGTTTAACTTCGAAACTAACCACTATTTTTTTTTTTTAATCTTACTAGAGCTACAAAAATATCAGAGCACTATCGATAGTATCGATGTTTTAATATTTTTTTTTAAACATCGATATTTTTTACTATCGATGTTTTTAGAAGATTTGCCATTATTAGAAAGTTTATCCGTTGCTGATTTGGGACAGGCAAGAAACATAAAAATTAAAGCGTAATAAATTCATAATCTTTAACAGTTTAGCTGAGTTTTGACGCAAAAGCGTACCAATAAGTGTTTCGGAAAGTTATTACTCATAAAAATGATTTTGTCAATGCCATTCGATATCTAATTGGGAAAATTTAGACTAAAAATCTGAAGTGTACCCTAGATTATTGCCTTAAAGAGCAAATATTTAATTTATTTAATAAGACATTAATTAAAACACATATTAATCGCGTTGTTGCTTTATGAATATTTTTATATTATTTTTATTTTTCATTTAATTAATTAGTAACTTGCAATATTTAATGTGACCTTAAATATAAGTCCGATTAAATTTTAAATTAACTAACGGATAATTTTAAAATAATAAATGTAATTGTTTTTTTAATTATGTTTGTTTAATTAATCAGGATTTCAACTTTCAACTTTATAATTCCCAAGAAAACACGATATTATCGATACTATCCATGTTTTATTGGCAAAACATCGAAACGGCGATAGTTTCAAACATCGATTTTTTTTTCCAGCACTAGAGCTTGCGTATATATTTAAATGTTTTTTCAATACGGACGCTTTTTAGTTTTTTTCTTTTGTTTTCTCTAATTATATATTTTTTTTTTGTACCAGCTACCATGATAAAAACATAGCAAGGTAGAACCGTTCTCTCAATTTGCCGGCCATGGTTTTTTTTTGAAGTTTGCCAACATTTTAAAATCATATAAAAGTGAAAATAAAAAATTGAAATTGTTCGAAATTGGTGTTGCTTGAGATTGAAAATGAAAATGTGTGTGTGAGTTTGTGAGTAAATTTAAAAATTAAATTGTTTGGAAACGTCAAGAATTTCAAAAGTGACTCTCAGCGGTTCTACCTTACTTTATTTTTATTATGCCAGCTACAATTCAAATTTCTTCAAAATTTTATAGATTTTCTGAGATAAACCGAAGATCAATATGCATCAATTGAGAGAAAATCGAATGTCGATTCTTGAATTTTTTGAATCGAATCGGAACTAAAAAATCTAATCGGAAGGGCTCGATTAATCGATCTTCGATTTAATCGATTTAAAAACGACACCTCTACTATGCACGTGTGATTTTACTGATGCACAGAAATGGCCAGTTTAGTGGGTGCTAATAGGCGTATGAGTGACATTGATTGTCTGATTTTGAACGGACGTTGTATTTAGTAGCGTAGTCAGCTTTTATAATTTTTTTTTTTTGTAGTGGGAGCTATGTTTGCTTGTATTTTTGTATGCTCATATCTTTGCTGCAAGAGTGTCATTAGCCAAAAATAAATAAAAATAAAAACAAGTTAAGTATACAGAAATCACCGCCAGTTCTTCTTCGATGTTGTTTAAAATTTGCATGGCTGTTTCGATTAACAATAGCCTAATAGAAGAAAATGCCTCTAACTTGGAGCTGTAAACCGTAAATTTTACATTTAATTCTCGAGTTTTTGATCTTTCGTATTATGACACTTTTGCAATTTTCTACTTACATTTATAGCGACTGCGCGTGTGAGCCAATAGCTAGCGTAGTTATTTCACATAACAGCCGGCGAAATAGCACAATAACAACGAAATTAGTTCGACGTCACAATAAATTAATAAAACAAATAAATAAATTTACGATATAAGCAACAACACACCGGCACAAGAAATTCGCAAGACCTTGTTTGTTATTTGTTTTTTTTTTTTTTGTTTGCGCTTCGACACTTGCTTTAGAATTTGAGTGGAATAAAATGTCTGCTATTCGATTCACTTGTTGCTATTGCATTTTTGTGTACATCTGTATGTATGTATGTATGTACATAAGACAGTGTCAAATAAATTTTTTTTTGTTCTATCCCATATCTATGCGACTTGTGTGGGCGATCACAAAAAAAAATTGTGCAAAATGTCAGCCCTCTATCTTTGTTTTTCAGTTAGCATGGTAAAAAAAAAATCAATAAAAAAAAAATTTACAAAAAAAATTGTCAAAAATCAACGATAAGTCCTAACTACTTCAAACTTGCACCTTATTACTAGAATTGACTGGTTTACAAGATTTGGGTTTTTAATTTTTTTATATTTAATTGTTTATAAAAAGCAGCTAAATTTTTTTTTTAATTGAAAATTAATATTTTTCGCGCGCTAACTGAAAAATGCACAAATAAAACTGAAATTTGGGCACATTTGTTTTTTTTTTTTTTTTAATTGTGACCGACATGGAAATTTTCATTTGGCACCGAAAGAAAAAAATTGTAGTTTTATTTGACACAGTCTAATGTATGTACATACAAATTTTTTTGTATGTGCTTTATGCGAATACATATGTATGTATGTAAGTCTTTTAGCTCTCGCGATGGCGCATTATTAAATTTTTGTATTCCTTTTTATTTCTAAAAATTGATTTACTCATTGCCGCAAATAAATTTAATATTCTTAATTTTTAGTATTTTTGGCATAAAATTATATACTTTTAATTATTTTCACTTCAACTTTATGTCTTTTGTTAATTTTTATTATTTTTCGTCCACAGTTGCAATGAAAATTATCAGTCTGTAGACTGTAGACTGTGAAAAAAATATAAAAGCCATCAGCGTACATTTAGAAGTGCTGAAGAAACTATCGCGCACTTTTGTTATGTACATATGTACATAAATTGTTGTTGCAACAATTTATATACATAGTATCTATGTAGAACACCCGCAAGCATTTTCTAGTATTTATTTTTGGCGTTAGTGTTGGCGCCTGCAAGCGTTGGCGGTCGAAAGTAGTTCACTTTGGCATAAATAAGAAATACAAAGTTGAAAAGAGGAAAGCAGCTTGAAAATAAAATTGGTTGCAGAAGTGGCGCACATTTACAAAAATAAAATTTAAAAAAGTATTCAAAAACATAGCAGAGGAGAAAGAAATTAAAAACAATTTTTAACAAAAATAAATAAAAGACATAAATCAATTTTTCACGTGGTGCCAAGTAGTCATTTCATGAGCTGTAAGTGGTTCAAAAATAGCACTTCAATGAATGCAGTTCAAATATGCGTATTTTCTTTTTCACTTTTACTACACAAATGTTTTGGAAGTTATTGTATTTCGTTTACTTTTCATGCGTACATTTCGCAAAATTCCACGCTATTCGAATGAAAATTCGTTATAGCTTTTCTTTGCTCGTTTAATTTTTAGTTTTCAATCTTGTAACTTTTATTTATTTATATATATATATTTTTGTTTTTTGTTTTTTTTTGCTTGTTGCTATTTAACGATCACGCAAACGTAAGGCGCAGTGTTCGAATGACTCGCAATGCCACCACGTGCGCGTTTCAAATTCATGCATAAACTGATTTCGGTGTTAAAATGCTTAGCAGCGCGCGGTTTGCAAATCGCTGAACGCTGGCGATTGAAAATTTTGTTTGTGCGCGAGATCCTCTTTAGCGCTGATAACAGCTGTCAGCGCGCAGCGTGTCGAGGGCAGCGTTGCCGCAAGCTTGGAAAAAAAAGTATCAGTTGCCAAGCAGAAAAAGTATCAAAAGCAAACACAACTGTTATATATTTTTAAAACTTTTTTTTGAAAAACAAATAATAATTAATATTGTATAATTAAATGCATAGATTTGTACAAGTCAATATTGTGGAAATTAATACACAATAAAATTGCGCAAACCTTATTTTGGAGAAACGTTGCTCAAGTAAATCAGCCTTATCACGAGTTTCATTTTCCCCGAACCGGTTCATTTTTCACTTTTCGTTTCCATGTATGGGTAGAATACGAATTTTCGGGCCTTATAAATACATATAAAATTTGAAGACTTTAAGTAACAAGGAAAAAATTGTTTGTCTTTAAACTGGTAACCTTATTCATACTTTTCAAAAATTAATTTCTGCCAGCTAAATGTATTTATCAAAATGTGGCATTTGTGAACAAAAAAGTATCAAAGTATCATATATTAATATTTAGAAAAAAAAAAGTTTCAAAAATGATACAACTGTATCAAAGCGGCAACGCTGGCCGAAGGGCAACGTAAAAAAAAGCGCTGCACTGCTTGTGAGTTTGAGAGTTTGTATGGTAGAGTTGCCAACAGTTTGAGAATTTTTAATATGACTTGAACTGACAACACTGATCGACAGGTTAAAAAAAAGCCAGAGCCGAATTCTAAAGTAAATTTAAGTCACTCATTCCGCATTTACCCATCATTTCTTCAGCTTTTCTTCGGAAACCTATATTTTTCATTGCCAAGGGAAATATTTATTTATGCAAACGAATACGAAAGCTTTGAAAAATAAAAAAATATACCTTACTATACATTTGATACCGCCAACTTTTTAAAAATCGTATTCTTAAAGAGACAAGCAGGCCTTTTTATTCAAAATTTCCAAAATTCATTATTTTCTGCCAGAATATTAAAAAGCCTTAATTTGAGCTCCAAATCATGTATTTTGTCTGATAACGATCGAGCATTATTTGTGAAAACATTTCGTAAAATGTAACTCAATAACAACTCAAAAATATGCTTATACGAATGCAAAAAAGTATTCCAGATATGCTCTCGTGGGTGACAGTAGGGTGTTCGGTTATTCGCCTTTTTCCAAAACCGAGTTTCAAGTTATTCGAAAAATTGCAATTTAAAAAAAAAAACGAGTACCCGATTTTGAAATTTAGAAAAAAAAACCGGATAAACCGTTTTTATTTTACATAGTTTACATACAATGAAAATGCTTATGTTGGTATGAAGTCATGACCAAAAATTAAAATAAAACTATTATCAGTAAAGATAGCAAATTAAGTACAAAGTTTTTTTTAGATCAAAAATAAAAAAACAAAAATCCGTGAAAAATTTGCGTTTTGTCTTATTTTGGTTTGTTGCATTTTTCTGACTTTTTCCCGATTTGAGTAGTTTTCTTGCCGACGTAGCCGGGGTAAAAGTCGAGATCTCCATTTGTGACACATCAAGAAGAACACGAATTGAAGGATAAGCTCGGCCAATTACGTAGAAAATGTTTAAGCGCCAAACATTTATTTATTGGCATCAAATATGATGTACTGCTCATCCCCAAATAACCTAGAATATAATTTTAAAACTATTTGGCTGGAAAAGGCGTTGAAAGTTTCGAAAAACTCAAATCTTTTATTGAGAGGCCAAGATTTGAATGAAATGAAAAAACCGGTTTGTCAAAAAATAAAAATAAACCGGTTTATTCGATATTTAAAAATTGAGGATTACAAAAAACCCGTCTAAAGATATTCAAAAAAAGCTGGCGCAAAAAACCCCTAGTGAAGAGTAATGAAGAGTACTAAATTATATCGCCACCCGAGTGGAAGATCGACCCCGATCCGGTTTGAAAACGCCCTATCTCAGAAAACTTTTAAAGAACGCCCCATTTCAGAATTTGCTTGAAGAACGCCCTAACTCAAAATTTGATTGAAGAATTCGATTCAAAAATGCCCTATCTCAGCACATTTTAATTTGAGATGAGTCATTTTTTAACCGAATTATGAAATAGGGTGTTTTAAATCAAATTCTGAAGTAGGGCGTTCTTGAAAAGTTTTTTGAGATAGGGCGTTTTCGAACTGGCTGCCGATAACGTCGATCTTCCACTCAGATGTAGTCAAAATAGTGAAGAGGAAAACAAACAGTTCCCGCACGGTAGCGCATCTTGCCACGGTGAGGCTATCTTTAGGGTCTGTAGCGGGATGCTACATAGTAAACAATTTTTAATCCGATTTGATGTAATATAAAAATCACTCAACGATAAGTCCCTATTTCAAAATTTGTACAAAAGTTAGGAAAATATTTCATATAAAATTTAAAACTTCTTAAAAAAAAATTTTGGGAAAAATATTGATATGAGGTTATGTAGAACATGAAATTTTACTATAGTAAAATCCAAGTTTCAAGATGCTCGAAAACCTCGTTTATTTTTGATAATTTTTTTTCTGGCGGTGTCACACCTTTTCTTCCAGAAAAAAAAACAATGTCAAGTATACTTTGCATGGAAGAAAAAGCGTGACAACGTTAGCAAAAAATTATCACAGCCAAATTGAAAATAAATAGAAAATATCAGAATGAGAATGTCATCGAATAAGACATCAAACCTCAAGCACCTTTTCAGGGGTGCAGGAGATACACCAAACAAAAACTTACATGGTTCCCTTATCATCGCGAATTTCTGAGTATAAGTTACACGTACATACCTTATTATATCTCACTGAATATCAGCATTGTTGCTTATCACTGAGCCCTTGATAATTATTCATATAATTTGTAAGAACATTCATACATACGCTTATCACAATTTATTTGCTTGCCCTCTGTTTGCCCTTTTTATTTTATTTACGTATTTATTCTCAACACTTGGCTACCCTAATCTATTGTTAGCGATAAGAGAGAGAACTACTGCGTCGTCAGTCCGTAAGCGATTGCTGCCCAACGGCCCAACGGCACAACGGCACAACGGCACAACGGACAGGCGATATTTTGTTTTGCTACACAGCTGTTACATTGTAAATGTATCTGTGTTAAGCAGCCGCCTCGTACACATATGTATGTATACCCTACAGCAGCATTTGGTGACACTCTGGCAAAGCGCTAGTTCCGAACTATACATTTTGTAACTAGTTAGGGTCGCACTACATACAGCAAAACGGATACCGAGCGGGGCTGTTCTAGGTGCGTTTTTCTATTCGTAATGTGCCACTCACATATATATATCAAAATGAATTTACCCAAAAAAAAATGAAAATAAAATTCAATGGGGGTATTCATCTAATGCCACAAACTGCCGGTAAACGCCATAATATTAAGAATTTGTATGGCATAAAGTCTGTTCATAAGGCGTTTGGCGGTTAAGTTAATAGAAGGAGATAATTAGCACATTGTTGAACACTGTAATCTTTGATAAGACAGTTAAAAGAGTTAAGTTGGGCCAGATTGCGAAGCAGTATCGTCCCCTTTAGAGCTAGCTCGCCACTAGTTCAGAGCCAGTTCGGTTTGCTGCAGGGTATATACTTGTACATACATACTAAATACATTTGCAAATATGTGCACTTATTAGCGATTCATTTCTAAAAACTATATAAATTGTGTTACAAATGTGTATTTGTGTGTACTTTAAGATGTGTTTTTACCATACACACAATTAAAAATGGCAAAAAAAAATTAGTAATCGAATAATCAATCATATGATTAATCCCAAGCCAAAAAAAATATATTTTAATTAATTGCAATTATTAAGAAATAATCGATTCATTGAATTTTTAAAAGCACTTTTTTACGGTGAGTATTCACAAAAACACTTTTCCATAAAAAAATTTTAATTCTCTTGTTAATTAGCCTAAAATAAAGCGAGTATTTTTAGCGGCGCTAATTATTTATTATTTAACCAAGTTTGCAAAGACAATATTTTGATAAGCCGTTTGCTGTTAAGCGGTTGCGTTTCTCGGTGGCTGCGGAACCAGCTTATGAAAAAAGGCGGTCAGCAGGCCATGAGGTAAGTACCAACCAAATGACAGTATTTTTTTTAAAGTGCATAAAGTTTTTGGGAAACAGTTTTAATTTTCTCCCAAGCGTCGATGATATTGCGCTTTAGTTGTAGGAGTTGGCAATTTAAATAAAAATTCATTTCATCTTGTGGGTGACCCTTCCCTTCGTTTGTGTGTGTACAAGAGATTTATGGGGGCCCAAATATCGAACTCATTTTCTGCTGATTCTAGTGACGACTCGTTACCCGCACATTATATAAGTTCGCAAGGACTTCATAACTGAGGCCAATACTAACGGATCTTTGAAATGAATTTTTTTTAAACCTCGGGTCGAGTAAAGTTGATGCAGCTAGCAAAAACGAGTGTCCGATGAATGGATTTTAGACAACTACAGAATTCGTACTTGCTGAAAAAATTTTTACGATTATATTACATTTAATGAAAGCAGAGTCATAATCCGAAGTATATTTCTATCGTTAACAGTCTGTCCTTCTCTCTTGGGAAACATGCCTCCGTATTTTAAGCATAGGTATTTTTAATCCTCAAGGGCATATTTTACTCAGTAAACAGAATACTTATAGGTATTGGCATACAAACACAAATATATCATCGACTTTTTTACAATTACTGAATAATTAGTTTAACTAGGCCAAATTACTAATACTATCAATTAAATTATGATGAAAGCAAAAAGATTAGCATCGACTAACCAAAACTATGTGATTTCATTTATAATATTTGTATCTAAGTATACATTGTATGCACATACATACATACATATGTAAGTATGCATATGATATGATAAGATATCATAATCACAAAGTAAATATATGTGTGTACATT